TCAATGGAATTGTCTGAAAATCCACACAAGGAGTTCCATGTGGGTACTTTATACCTCAGCACATAATTATCTACATAGGTCCACGATATCGCATATCCCCCATATAACTGTACCACCCGATATTCGGTATTTTGAGGATTTTACCCACATTTTCAACGGAATTGTCTGAAAATCCACACAAGCAGTTCCTTGTGGGTACTTTATATCTCAGCAGAGAATTATCTATATAGGTACACGATATCGTATATCCCCCATATAACGGTACTCCCCCGATATTCGGTGTTTTGATGATTTTACCCACATTTTTCAACGGAATTGTCTGAAAATCCACACAAGGAGTTCCTTGTGGGTACTTTATACCTCGGCAGAGAATTATCTATATAGGTCCACGATATCGTATAGCCCCCATAAAACGGTACCCTCGATGATGATGATTTTAACCACATTTTTCAACGGAAATTGTACACAAGGGTTTTTTGTGAGCACTTTACGGTACCCCCGATATTCGGTATTTTGATGATTTTAGCCACATTTTCAAATTGTATAGTCTGAAAATCCACACAAGGTGTTCTTTGTGAGCACTTTACCCCCTGAAAGGGAATTGTCTATATAGGTCCGCAATATCGTATTTCCCCATATAACGGTACCCCCCGATATTCAGTAGTTTGACGATTTTAGCCACTTTTTCCAATGGAATTATCTGAAAATACACACAAGGAGTTCCTTGTGAGTACTTTGCACCCAGACATAGATTTATCTTAATAGGTCCACAATATCATATATACCCCATATATCGGCACCTTCCTATATTAGATATTGTAAAGATTTAAAAAAAAATTAATGGATTTTATTTTTTTGAAAATTTTCTAATTGGTTCCAAATGATGGAGGGTATTCAAAGTTCGGCCCGGCCGAACTTACTGCTTTTTTACTTGTTTTCGAACGTTCCCACGCCTCACATCCCAACCCCTGCCGACCGAGGGGGAAACCACCTTTTACGTAGGGATCGCGAGCACATCATGATCCGCATCATAATTGGAATTTAATAAACCAGCTACAGAATCTAATTCGTCAGCTAGTTTGTCAAATAACAAAACATGTATTTTAATTGTTTAAAAATGAAATTATTCTAGATTTAATAACTTCTAAACTCATACCAAAATCTACATTACAGTACAAAGAATTAAAGTCACACACACATGCTACTAAGAGGTTCGCCCATTGAATAATTCGTGTGGTGAAAATCGGTATATAAAACTTGGTAGTATATACTAGATTTAATTCTAATAAATGAGATTAGGAAATCTGAAAGTATATTACCATTTAATATTTTTATTACAAACATGCTTTTAAGTGTAGGTAATCTAATTAATTTTAACCTGCTAGCATAAGAAGGCAAAACAAAATCACTATTCCAATGTAAATCTTGTAAGGCAAATAGCAGAAATTGTTTTTGCACGGATTCTAATTTATCTGAGTATATTGCATATTGAGGATCCCATACAACAGAACCGTATTCTAATATAAGTCTTTTTTTGTTATATAAGGATCAGAAAATTCTTTGGCCCACCGTTTAACAAAACATAGAACACCATTTGCTTTATTTACCATCGTTATTATATGGCTACTAAAATTTAATTTTGGATCCATCAAGAGGCCAAGATCGACAAATGAATCTACAGTTGATAATGAATTACCGTAAATATTATATTACAATATCAGAGAAGAAGATCTGGAGAAGCACATATGCTTACATTTGCTTAATTTTAAATCCATAAAAATTAACCTGCTCCATTGAAAAAGGCTATCTAAATCGTTTTGAAGTAAACTAGCTGGTTTATCACAATTATGGGAATTGAATAATTTAATATCATCTGCGTACATTAACAATTTCGAGTAATTTATGGAATTAGGTAAGTCGTTGATAAATAAAACGTGACTTCCTTGCGGAACACCCGATTTAACGTTAATCGATTTGGATAGATAACCTTCAAACAAAACTAACTGTGATCTATCTTATAAGTAAGATGATATTCATTTGACTAAGTTTGTGTTGAAACCCATATAATTTAATTTATATATTAGAGTTCATGGTTAAGCCTATAAAAAGCTTTACTAAAATCAGTATAAATTGTATCAGTTCGTTTACGCTGAACAAATCTCTTTTTCTTGTTGACGTAAATTGTATAAGATTTGTTGTAGTTGAAAGACCACTACGAAAATCATGCTGATTTGGACTCAATAGAGATTGAATTTTCAGTGAAATTTCTGGAGTTATTAATTTTTTGAACTATTTTGGAATGGCACTTAATTTTGCAATAACTCTATACTTTGGCACATTAGTTAGACTACCAGACTTATGTAAAGGTATAATATAAGATTTTTTCCAGAAAGTAGGAAAGTGACCAAATTTAAGTGAATAATTAAACAATATAGTTAAAGGAAGTGCTAATGTTTCTGAACAATATTTAAGAATTATATTAGGTATGCCATCCAGGCCTGGAAATTTAATCGATTTCAAACTACGCAGACTATTGGACACCTCTTTGCGTTGTAGAAAAGGCATACAAATTTGATCAGCCTGTGACAACTTATAAGGATACGAATCTTTAATTTGGCAAGATGTACTGGAATAGGTTGTAGCAAAACAATCTGCGAAACATTCAGCAATATCTGTGCCTGTGACAAATTCTTTATTTTTATATTTCAAGACTGAGGGATTTGAGGAAACCTTTCGTTTTAGGTTAACGAAATCATAAAAAAAATTGGGATTGGATTTAAAATTATTTTTTATCTTGTATAGTATTTTTAAGCCTGATGTTTATATTAACGAAAAAGCTTGTTTTTAGAATTTTCTAAACTTTATAACTCAGGGGTTATTCATGGATATTTGTTAGAATTTTTAACTCTAGTAGTTGGAAAACATTCCAATTTAAATCTATTTAGAATATCATACAATTTATCAATGACATATTCCAGATCTTTATGGCTGTTACACAGGCACACAGAGGCCCAATTTACGAAGAAAATGAGGGTATTAAGTTTTCGAAAATTAGTTTTTTGTAATTAAGGACAGTTTTAAATGAATCGGATTGACTTTCTTCAATTACATAACTGTGAGTCATGGAGATATATAAAGTTTTAGGGTACATATCTTCAGGAGTGCATATTGGTGGAATTCTGAATATATCAAAATGCTGTGTTATATTTACAAACTCCAAATCAAGAATTTTGCCGTGGGAATTTTTCACGCTGTTTATTTGATAAAGATTTAAGTCACAAAAACGATTTATAACTTCAAATGTATGCTGAGTACCGTTCTTTTTGGATGGCAAAGGAATCAAAGCTTCAGGATCTTGCATTGAAAGCCACCTAATGGAAGGCTTATTAAACCACCAAGATTCAGGATGCAATCTGAATCTTTTATTTTTTCAGTGATTAAATTTACTGATTATAAATGTCAAGTGAAGATGATGGTGGAATATAAGAGCAAGTTACAAACAATTTAGATTTGCCCAATTCAATGGAAACACCAATCAACTGCAATAAGGACGCCACCACCTTTTTTACAAACACGATCTTTTCTGAATATTTGATATTTTTTTGCCAGTAACAGTCTAGGGACGATCGCTAGATATCGGAAGAATTAATTTCTGAATGTCATGAGTAGATTGTAAGGTTTTATTAGAAACATCACTATCAATATTCATAACATCAGGATCAGCGAACGAAAACAAACGAAACGATTCCCCTCTTCCAAAGACACAAACTTTAAATTTATTTTTCACTCGTTTTGTACTCCAAACAAAACAAAACCACAAACATTTCAATGCCAGAAGTACACAAACAATACGATTGCCTTAATGTACATCGGCTGTGATTTTCCGTTAATATACAGGAAAACGTTTTCAAACGTTTGCAATGAGTTTTGTACTGTTTCGTTTCCAATGATGCGTTATCAAGCATCTACACAAACAGTACAAAATAAGAAACAAGTCCCGTTATCTTAATATCGGGTTCGTACTTCGAAGAAATACAGAACGAAACAATGGCAAACGTTTTCAATAGTTTATTTTCGTTCACTGATCAGGATTATTTACCCCTTTATTTATATCGCTGTTAATTGCCGGAACTGGGTGTGTAACAACGCTGGCATACGACTGTTCACGCCCAGTTTTACTTGTATCAGTGGTATTAAGTGAAAACGGTTTTGGAACAGTGTTCTGCACAGAAACAATGGCTTTGCGACTAGGCATTCCCTTAGTTGGTGCCTTTTTCGCAGCTCTTTTGCGTTTCTTACCAGACACTGACGGTGACGACGCAAACTCATCTTATTCTTGGTATTTCTCAAACAATGTAATGAAATTCTCAAATCGGACTGATAGGGAGGAAAAATATTTTCATCGTTGTCTATTCCGACTTTAAAATCTTTACAAAATTTTAAAAATCTCCAGAGTTTCCTACATTGCACTCAATACCAACGAACACCAACATTATTTCTTATTGTGTCTACGACTTTTGCATTAATCCTAGCACATTTAGCATGCCATTGATTAAGACAAAAACAACAGGTAATACACAATTCATCCTCTGCAACAATATTACACAGTTCAAAGGGCACGACATTATATTTATCTTAATTATAATTATTTCTTTTTTTAATTATACACGTTACAACTATATCTTTAAGAGCAGATCTGTAGCTGGAATTTTTTATTTATTTTGATATGTCAAAAAATTTAAAATGTTTTGACAAAAATAAGTAGATTTTTAAAAGTTTTCTTACAAGACTCAAATCGGGGGTTGTTATGATATGCATTTTCGAAAATTTTTACAAATTTCAATAATTTCTCATTCAATATTATCAATTTCAAAATTGGTGTGACAGTTCATTGTCCCAGAGTCGATGGGACTACCTGTATTCTTCTACCATGATTGCTCATCAACTTGATTTATCGATAATACATACTTCGATTTGTAGGTCCCTTGATGCGTCGCTTCTTAGCTAGTTTTAATTCAGATATTTCATATATTGGCGCCGTTACTGTTGTGAAATTGTTTGAGGTTGCTTTGTGTTTGTATTTATTGAAATGGATGTCTCTATCGATTTGCCATTTAAAGCCGAATATGCTAAAACAGGAAGAGCTGGTTGTAAAGGATGTAAGACTAATATAGGCCAAGGATCTTTGCGGATAGCCGCTATGGTCCAGGTATGTAGAAGTGAAAATGATGTATTTGTATGTAAGATTTTCAACTGCTTGACGTCCATTACAATAATCATTGCTTATAAAACGCCGGATAGTACTAATAGTACTCCTTAAGATTGATAAAAAAAATGGAAAGCATGATTAGGCTTCAAGGAACAACTCTAGTTTAGTAAAAACTCTTCGATTTTTTCGAAATTTTTTTTCCAGAGGTAGGTATTTTTACCCTGATTCCGGAACACAATTTGTTCTTGGGGGGCGGACATAGGCAATATATATCGTTGGAAAGCTTATGAAAATACCTACCCAACAAGTGGTCACATGAGTAAATGCTCAAGGTTCAGAAGTTATAGTCAAAATATCGATTTTTTGGACACATATTTTTTGTAAAACTCCCAAAAAGTCCAAAAAGGGCCTATTATGGGGATCAACAAAATTGATGGCAAATTATAGCTGACATTCTTACCTTTCCAAAATGCTACAATTTGGGCAAATACTTTTTTCGGGTCCAGAGATATGGGTCTTTCCGTTCGCATAACCCGATTCTAACCAGTTTATTAAAATTGTTTTCAGTAAAACAAGGTTTAAAAGGAGCAAGTTGAGTTTAGGGGCTGTGCTCTGATCATTTTGAAATTTTTACCACAGGTAGGTATTTTTAAACTGATTACGGCAATATAAATTTTTTGTGGGGGAAATAACCGGTTACCCGGTTATTGGACCCGAAAGTTCAGATACAATGTTCGGTTTTTATCCGGTTCCACTGAACCGATACAAACAAAATGGGTATCATTGGAAAGCTTATGAAAATACCTATCCAACAAGTGGTCACATGAACCGGTTACAAGAACCGGTTCCAGAGTAATGCAAGAAAATTGATATTTTTTACCAGTACTTTTTGAAAAACCCATAAAAACTCAAAAATGGACCCATTATAAGGTATTAAAATCTACATACCGTATTATAGCCAACAATATTGCCTTTCCAAAATGGTATCATACATGTTGATATCTTTTGTAGTTCCGAAGATATTAGTGATAGAAGTCATTAATTTGCAATTTTTTCTCCAGTCAAATGTATCTAACCTCTATAGCATTTTTAAACAGCCGGCCTTCGGCCGGGGTTTGAGATTTTCTTCTCTGGGGTATGTCCAACACCGGCTACGCGATCGCTAGTTTTTCTTAACATCGTAATCTTTGTAGGTAGCCGGCCTTCGGCCGGGGCTTGAGATTTTCTCCTCTGGGGTATGTCCTACACCGGCTACGCGATCGCTAGTTTTTCTAAACATCGTAATCTTCGTAGGTAGCCGGCCTTCGGCCGGGGCTTGAGATTTTCTCCTCTGGGGTATGTCCAACACCGGCTACGCGATCGCTAATTTTTCTAAACATCGTAATCTTCGTAGGTAGCCGGCCTTCGGCCGGGGCTTGAGATTTTCTCCTCTGGGGTATGTCCAACACCGGCTACGCGATCGCTAATTTTTCTAAACATTGTAATCTTTGTAGGTAGCCGGCCTTCGGCCGGGGCTTGAGATTTTCTCCTCTGATGTATGTCCAACACCGGCTACGCAATCCATAGTTTTCTAAACTTTTATAATTAAAACACCTTTTATTCTTAATCAATTTTTTTATACTTTTTCTTAATAAATAACGCTAAATTACAAACTATATGAACAAATTAGGAAACAAACTTAAATTAGAAATAACAATAACAATAACAAATTTAAATATTAAAAATTAAACAATTAAACAATTAAAATTTTCCTAGGTGCGCCTTCTTTTTTGAGGTGGTGCGTCCTCATCTTCTGAACTATCGGACTCCTCAGGAGCACTCACCTCCAATACCATATAGGGTTCCGCTGAATCCATTTGGAATTCCTGCCTTTGCTTTTCAACTTTACTATTTGTGGGGTCATAAAGTTGACCAGCAAAGCGCAGGAATTCCTCAAATGGATTTTTCAGATTTGCGTGACACCACCTCAAGAATATAAATTTCTGTATATAACCGTTGAAAAATATTTTTCTACGGTTATATGCAGAAAGTGATACCTTGAGGTGGCGCCACAAACCCTCTATGGTATTAGTGTGGTGCCCCGTTTCGGGATCCACAAAATGTTCAGAATGGTTCACCTTTCGATGGGTGTACCCCTCCTCATCCAAGGTATCATAAGCCTACAAAAATAATATTTATTATAAAATAAATATGTCAAGATATTATATATTCTTACCTTCCAAAAATCGGAAATAATCACGGAACCGGGTCTTACATACTTTTTAATGAGGGGCAGCAAGGTTTCTTTCGAGCGGTCTTGAACGGGAACAATAAAGCATTTATTTGTTTCCCGTTCAACACCGCCGAAAACCCATTGCCCCTCAACAGGATGGCCACGGTGGTACTTCCTCTTTCCGATTTTAGACTCGTCGATCTCGACAATTATTCCAGGGCCGCCTATTTGCAATTGCGTCTGGAATGAACTAAAGACAACAACTTCTCTACAGAAGTTGTTCCAGTCCACTGCAGTCCGCTTATCAATTTTCGTCTCCCGTATTATGTCTTTGAGAGGGCCTCCCCTCTCAACCCACATAAAACTGAAGACGATAATTTGGCAAATTGAGAGATGCGAATTATCAAAAAACGTTCCTTTTCGTAAGGAACGTTTCAGATTACAACTCCCAGTTCGACGGCCCCGAAACTTCTTCTGACACCTAAAAATAAATATAATAAGAACTTGAAATTTATAAAATATAATTTACTTACCTCCAAATCCACCCATCGCAACAATCAACGTATGGACCCAGCTCCATGCAATGCCCACGATTGCATTTTAATTGTCCAACATCAGGAATTAATCCCCACTTCTGCAATTGGTGGAGGGCACCTTCAGATAACGCTCCACTGCGTTTATAATCGAAAATTTTATAAATTTCCAAAAGTTCGACACTTTCCATTGTAACGAAAATTTTAATTAAAAACTAGCTAAATTATAACGGTACTTTTTAGATATTCCTTTTCCACCCACATTCGCAGAAATTCTTTGTATCTTAATTCCCTTTCTACTCAGTTTCGTGAAAAGGAATGCAAAAAATGACGTTATATTAAAAGCACTTTTTAATCAACACCGAATTCAAACCAAAACAGATTAACAAAAACGTTAAACCCGACATAAAACTTGGCTTCACTCATACTACTTTCATAAGTAACAACTTTAAAAGCCAATATCTTCGGAATTACAAAAGATATCAACATGTATGATACCATTTTGGAAAGGCAATATTGTTGGCTATAATACGGTATGTAGATTTTAATACCTTATAATGGGTCCATTTTTGAGTTTTTATGGGTTTTTCAAAAAGTACTGGTAAAAAATATCAATTTTCTTGCATTACTCTGGAACCGGTTCTTGTAACCGGTTCATGTGACCACTTGTTGGATAGGTATTTTCATAAGCTTTCCAATGATACCCATTTTGTTTGTATCGGTTCAGTGGAACCGGATAAAAACCGAACATTGTATCTGAACTTTCGGGTCCAATAACCGGGTAACCGGTTATTTCCCCCACAAAAAATTTATATTGCCGTAATCAGTTTAAAAATACCTACCTGTAGTATAAATTTCAAGTCAATCCGAGCACAGCCCCTAAACTCAACTTATGCCGTTTAAAACAACAATGGGCCCATTTTCGACTTTTTGGGGGTTTTATAAAAAAGATGGGTCCAAAAAATCGATAATTTGACTATAACTTTCGAACCTTGACCATAAGCTTAATAAGCAACGATACCTATATTGTATATATCGAGTAATTGGATCTGGGTCTAGTCGGGGTCCTGAACCCGGACTTTGGGGTAAAAAGTCTGGGGTCCCGGGTCCGTCGGTTCGAAAAAATTGATGAGTTTTTACTAAACTAGAGTTAAACCTTTAATTAAGTTTAGCCCCAGTTGGTGGAAAATTTTTATCGAAGATAGGTCTTGTTATCCTAGTCACAGTGACATAATTTTTTTTTTTGATATCAGTACTTCCCGATACATAGGGTTCCAAGATCCACAAATATCGCTTTTTATTTGCTATTTCTAAACCAATAATCGAAATAGAAACCTCATAATGGTTCTTGTATCCTGATTAAACAACAAAACATTTCTGGGAGGTGGGTCCACACTTCCCGAAATACAAGGTTCCAAATGTTAAAAAGTACCTTCCTTATATTTTGTCGGTTATTTAAAAAAATATCGGACATACCTCAGAGGAGAAATTCTCAAGCCACGTCCGAAGGCCGGCTATTTTTAAATTTTTTGGTTTGGAAGCCTATATTTCGGGAAGTATGAAACCACATCCCGAAAATATTTTATTGTCATTAGGGTACAAAAACCTATCTGTAGTGACATTTTGAAGTTTTCATTTCGGCTATTGGTTTAGAAACAGCAAAGTAAACAAGTAAAAAAGCAGTAAGTTCGGCCGGCCCGAACTTTAAATACCCTCCACCATTTGAAACGAATCAGGAGATTAAAAAAAATAAAATAAAATCCATTAAAAGTTATGTTAAAATCTTTAAAATACCTAATATCGGAAGGTGCCGATATATGGGGGGATGTACGATATTGTGGACCTATATAAACAAATCTATGTCTAGGAGTAAAGTACTCACAAAGAAGTTCTTGTTAGTATTTCAGACAATTTCGTTTAAAAATGCGGTTAAAATCATCAAAATCTCGAATATCGTGGACCTATATAGACAATTCCTTTTCAGAGGCTAAAGTGCTCACAAGGAACTCCTTGTGTGAATTTTCAGACCATTCCATTGGAAAATGTGGCTCAAATCATCAAAATATCGGGGGGTACCGTTATATGTGGGCTATACGATATCGTGGACCTATGTAGACAATTCTGTTTGAGGAAATAAATTGCTCACAAGGAAGTCCTCGTGTGGATTTTCAGACTATTCCATTGGAAAATGTAGCTAAAATTATGAAAATACCGAATATCGGGGGTACCGTTATATGGGGGCTATACGATATCGT